ACATAGCAACTCTAGTTGCCTGAACATTTATTTATTTATTTATCCCAGGATACAAAGTACATATTACATACAAAGTATACACCTATAGAGGTGTTACAAAACACCTGTACATAGGCCTGGTAATATTAGTTTATTATAATTAAGTACTAATCTATTAATAACAATGTCATGTATAATAGAAAAACAAAAGAAAACATAGTATTTTTAAATATCAGTGTCTACAATCCACTCAGTTATTTTCTTTTTGCTTGCTTTATTTTAAATATTTAACAACTTTAGACTCAGCGGTAACATATTGTAGTATTTAATTGCTCTATATTTTGAGTCTTTGTAAGATATATTTTTATTAATCTTTGGTAACTGTAACGGTTGAGCTCTAGCCTTACCTTTATATTCATTAAATACCTCTCTACAATCGGAATAATGATAACATAGTGACTCAGAAATAAATTTATGTTAAAACCCAGTACGGGTGTTCTCTCGTTTTTATCACATAAATGATTAATTAATTTATCTTGTATTTTTATTAACAATTTTGTAACATTCTTATAACTACCTCCCCAGCATAGTTGACTATACTATCGAATAATACGTAATAAATTGTTTTGAGTGCATTATATTTTTAAACTTTGAGAATATAAAAAGAAAATATCTAGTTGTTTTTATGACTTCTTTGATATGAAGATCCCATCTCATATGAGTATCAAAATATATACCTAAGTATTTACAATTATCAGTTCTTTTAATGGTCTTATCATAAATTTTTAACTCAAAACTTTCTGGAATACTGTCTTTATATGAACCGAAAGTTATATAGTTAGTTTTTTCAACATTTAAAGTTAAGTAATTATTACACATCTAATTCCCTATTAAACTTAACTGCACATTCATTTGTGATTGAGCTTCCGCCCAAGATTTACCTATACAATTAACTATTGTATTATCTGCATAAGCTGCCAAACAGTTTTAAGGTAGTTCCTTAAAGATATCATTTACACATAGAAGAAAAAGCAGTGATCCCAAGATTTGTTTTCATTTCAACGAATGACATATTTAAATAAGTCAAATTCCTTAAAAAAGTGGTAAATTCACAGCGGACGCGCATTGTATGAAAATAAAGCGTATAGCAAAATCGTTGTACGATTACTCGTTTTTTAAATATATCAAGTGTGTTTCAAAAGTGTTAAAATTATAGTAAACGATGACAACATGTGCAGTGTGTAATTGTACACAAAAATATGGGAAAACTTTAGTATACTATCCCAAGATTTCAGAGTTAAGAGGGGTATGGTTGGATAGAGGAGATTCTCCAGATAAAGAATATATTTAATTAGAGAGATATTTACATTTTAAGTTGAAAATTTCACAAATTTTAACACTTCACTACACAATTTTCGTTATAGGCACAATAACAAATGGGTTCCATGTTGACGGATAATAAGTGTTGCCGTATCCAAACGAATGAAAGCAATCAAAATAAAAAAATACCCAATTACCATCTACAAAATATTATGAACTAAATTTTCCATTTTAATAAAAGAAAAAGGTCTTATGACTTATATGTATGTTTTATTGCATCTAATAATTTTACAAATGGATCATGATGCTGATTGGCTATATTTTTCCTCCATATGTATTCCTATATTAAAATTGAAAAGTCTTCGCTATTATTATAATTATCTCTAATAAAAAAAACGTTTAATAACGCGCCACTAGGGCTCTATCCTATGCGTATAGGTTCCATCCTCTGCAACAAACTGATTGTCTGGGTCGCTAGGATTAACGCGTCGGTGCTCATACCCGTGACTGGACAGCCAGTCGTACGACTTCCAGCAATCAGTACATATTATGGTACCTTGTACCACATATCTCTTATTAAGGGTACGAGCACTTCAGCAGGCCTCACGATTTCAGGACACACTTCCAGCCGAAGGTCGTCACTCCCATCCTCTACCATCCCTAGGACCCAGTGGCCTTCCCCTCTCCGTCCCAAAATAGAAAACATTTAATAATTACGTATGAATATTTATTATTGCCTTTGTTGTATTTTCGTTTACCGAGTTTGCTTTCGTCTATTTGAACAATTTTTTCAGTATCGCCAATTTTACCTACCCCTACCTGATGATCAACCTGGTATAAAACTACCACTTCGCGGCAGTAATTATACCCGTCGCATATGGTAGCGCTGGATAAAATTGGCACCCTGATAAAACTGTTCTTTCGCACCTCCGCATGCAACCAATATGATATGTGCGATCCATTAAATAAAAAAATTGAGGCAGTGGTATTTTAATGTTTTCGAACCATGTCCCATTCGACCTCGACGCTGCAGTTCGTTTACGGTAGGCACCTTTCCGGCATCGGAATACGCCAACCGTGCAAGCCTCAGCAAATGAAACACATTTCTCGCGAGTGTCGAAATTTTATAGTAATTTAGCGTAATTCCACAATTCTTTGAGATTTATAAGGGACACGGTTACCTCTTACTGGTCGGTTTAAGCTTTAGTTTTTTAGTTGTTACTACTACCAAAACTCCAAGTGCAAGTTCCTGAAGAACAGAGTTCTGACAACGCATTATTGGATCTCGAATTCGACGGTTTAAAGCATTTGATGGGAGACATTTGCAAAAAAATGAAGTGATTGAGTTAGAGAATGATCAGTAACTCACTTACCATCACCAATATATAAGAAGTAAAAGCAGTGTTTCAAAATCCTGAATATCAGTTATATAGGGCTTAGGGCAAGTTGCATTTTAGTACAAAGATGCACCATTATTAGAAAAACATGCTCATTCAATTTTATTAATCCGAAATAACCCACTCTTACCACATGGTAACGCAAAGTGTGCTTTTATTTATCCATAAATAGCATGAAAGTTACACTACAAATATAGCTTGACAAAATTTTGAGTTTTCAATTATTCTGATTTCAATTCGCGAAATTATCACGTCTGACAATGTTTGTCCCGCTCAGCTTAAAAGCGGATGTGAATTCGTAATGGCTAGTGGACAACATCTACACAATTTTAATGAAGACGAAATTGGAGGCACGTTTGAAAATAATATTGCCTTATAGTTACAACCTTTCTTAACTGATTATAAATAAATAAACTCAACATAAAATTTATGGAGGAATCGTTCGAGATTACCAGATTAACTTTAGTATCGGTACAGCTTATTAGAGGTCCAAACCTATTACGTTGTATTTAAAAATTTGTAGACCTAAACTCCCTCCTTCATGTCTTTTTATACTCTCGCAACCTGTTGCTACAGAGTATAATAGTTTTGTTCACCTAACGGTTGTTTGTATCACCTAAAACTAATCGAGTTAGATATAGGGTTATGTATATATAAATGATCAGGATGAAGAGACGAGTTGAAATCCGGGTGACTGTCTGTCCGTCCGTCCGTCCCTGCAAGCTGTAACTTGAGTAAAAATTGAGATATCTTTATGAAACGGTGACATGTTTCTTGGTACCGTGAGACGGTTGGTATTGCAGATGGGCGTAATCTGCCACGCCCAACATCAAAAACAAATAAATTGCCATAACTAAGCTCCGCAATAAGATACAAGATTGTTATTTGGTACACAGGATCACACTAGGGAGGGGCATCTGCAGTTAAAATTTTTTTTTTAAAGTGGGCGTGGTCCCGCCTCTAATAGGTTTAATGGGCATATATCCTAAACCGCTAACGCTATAATAACAAAATTCACTTGGCCCCTCGAAAAAAAGGTGAGTCCGCATTGTCAGCATAACTCCTGACAAGATCATCTAAAATGAAATAAAAAATATGTGTTTTAGTTAAGACCAAAAACTCGTACTTGAACGAAGGAAAAAAAGTTAAAATTGGAATTTTTTACAACCGTCTTTGAAAACACAGTTCCGAGAAAAACGCGTTTAAAGTGACCGTATAGCTAACCTCTCGCGCGCAACTTTTCAAAGCTGTATCTCGAAAAGTATTACTGGTATCAACTTGAGAATTTGGAACAATATTCAAGAGATGTAAGAGAATTAAATAAGACAATAAAAAATCTTTTGGCTTTTGAAGACGTGAAACCCATGGAATCCCTTACAGTTAGTTATCTTCGTTTTAATGATTTAAGATGTATTGTATCTATATGCGGTATGTATACATAGGTAATTGCTAATTCTAGGTAGTGAATCAGATATATGTATCTCGCATTCTAATCTATACGTACAGTATAATGTTACATCGTACATACCTATACATTCCAACTAGATTTATGTCAGAGTTTCTATGTATTAGGCGTGCTAGTTTTACTAAGTTTTATTTCGATATCTTTATTAAAGCTTGAGCTTTTTATTGAAAAGTGAAATATACTTGTGGGATAAAAATGGATTTTTATGGGAAATTCATAAGGAATGCGCACTCTCTATTGGCAATTTACAATTTTTAAAATCTTTATAACTAGACAAGCTCTTCCCGATGTGATTGAAAGTACTGTTACATACACATTTGGGGAAAATGTGTAATTGTGGTCCATTTTTCTTATTCATTTGAGAAATTCTTCATATTTTTTCGTTTGTAGTAGTAGCTCTTAGTCAACTGATAAGTAACTACGGCTTGCCACTGTTTTTAGAAATTTTTTAAAATTCGCTTAGTTACATATCCGCTTCATTTAAATTAATATGTTAAAGGAAAGCAATTTTGTAATAAAAATGTGTCTGTGACTTGAAATTAATTGGTTACGGAGACGAATTTGTTATTATGTTGTTATAGTCCAAACATAAGAAAAACTAAAACAAACCTCTTTGATGTAGGGGAATTTTATAAGTAGTATCTACTGTTTAGGGAATTTAGACATTAAAAAGGCCTGTGTGCATTAGTCTTCCACAGGAGCATAGCTCACCTCTTCGTTGGTCACTTCATAATCATTAACAGTGCTGATTTTACCAAGTATGTACGTTATCTAATTAGAACCTAATCAACACAAGCCTAAAAATAAAAAATTAATTTAAAAAAAAAACAAAACAACCATTTTATTACAATCTTGCGCAGTATGTTTTTATATCAAATAAATATTTAATTTGCATACATTTGTATATATGTATATGTGATTTTTAATTGTATCGAGTGACACGATAATGAGCTATACTCTCGTCGTAAATAGGTATTACATCGATTCCCGCTTGAGGTAGAGCTCCAGCATCGAGCAGGCGTCGCAAAATGCTAGCAGATTTGGTATCAAATTGGTTTCCAATAATTTCAATCCTTTGTAGTTTAATAGGTTTTTTAATTGTTGCTAAAATTAAATTCATAGCATCTGGACAAATGTGATTCCATGTAATGTTAAGATAGACAAGTAAATAACAAGAACTAAGATACTTGGCCACCGTCTGCCCTCCAATGGTTCCCAATTTATTACTACCAATATTTAAATGGGTTAAGGTATTGCTAAGGACTGTGGCACGAAAAAGATACTCAGTTCCGTCACATCCAATGCAATTGTAAGCGAAATTTAGTTTTCGCAATGAACTCTTTGGCGTTTCCAAGTACTCGCTAATTACTTCCATATCGCAGGATTGAATTTCACATTTTTGCATTTCCAGTTCTTCCAGCTTGTTCTGCCAGATAAGTGAGGATACTACATGTGCAATCTTAGTCGTGTCCAAAGTAATGCGTTTGCCGACTAGCCGATTACATACGAAACTTCGCATGGAATTAGATTTATGAATGGCATCGACTAGTAAAGGAAAGCCATATTGGGTGACACTGCAATTGGAAACGTTCAAATGCCGAAGAATTTTCGATTCAATAATGAACTTATGAAGAGAGTCGATGTCTGGAGCCGTCAAAATTGTACCTGTTTGCATTCATATATATATATATGTAAAATGTATGTATAAACATCATAAAAAAAGACTTAGGCTTACCTAACCTTCTAATATTAGTTCTTTGACATTCATTCGTGCACCTTTATCTCGCAGCAGCTCAAAAAATCTTGTCGGCAACTGCATTTGCCGCAATTCAATATGATTAACCGTTATGACGCTTTCGACAAAACTCTGCAGTACATCGTGTTCATAAGGTAGAAAATGAATTCCTGTAAGTTGCACTGAACAGAGGGCTCTCTTTTTTAGAAAGCTAACTATTACCAAAAAATCATACACTGGATGGAATTTTCGACGCAAGCGTTCTTCAAATTCAAGAAGATTGAAGCAAAAATTCCGATAAGGGCGTTTGTCATATTCTCTTTGCCAGCTGTCCAAAAGCAGGCGTGTAAATGGTCGATTCGTATCCTTCTCCGATGGCTGCAGACATAATTTGTAGTTCTCGCACATGATGTCGTGAAACTGCCGCTAGAAATTATTATATTCAAAAAATTTTATATTTTATAAGCAATTTGTTTGATGTCTTCAAATCTACTACAAAGTTTTGGCTTGCTCAAATTACTTAAAAATATTGCTACGTTACAACTAATATAAACAGTACTACGTTGTTTTGGAACGTTTGAGTTCAACATTTAGGAGGAATACAAGGAGTAACAACGAGTATCTCTTAAGTTACACCTATGTGAACATAAAAAAAAAATATAATTTTAAAAGACTGACGGTCGTCAAAAAAAGTTATCTAACAAGGCTCTTAATCGTTTCAAGTGCCACAGGCAATGCGGTGATTGCCTGACTTAAGCCCGATAGAGCATGTTTCGGCTATTTTAAACGACCCGAATCAGCCAAATATTTAAGAAAATCTTGTTGAAAATATTCAAGTCAAGATTAACAGAACAAAGTCTTGTAGAGGGCATACGAAATACTAAAATTAAAAATTTAACTCAAGAGACAAAAAATTAATTTAACTAGAAAAAATATATGATTATTAACCGTTGCAAATTACAATACAATGTAAACAATGGAATCATAGAACAAATATATATTATTTTAAATATACTTAAATACCTATGTAGTTCCAGAAAAATGTCTATAAAAAATCGAAATAACATTTTAATTGAAACACATGATTTTAATACAAACTACAAAAACAGTGTTATGTAGTCATTATTCAAAATTAAAATAGGTAAACATAATCTCTTCAACAAATTACGAAACAAATTCTGTTTTCTAAACACAACTTCATGAAAATGGTAAAACTTTGAATATATAGACTATATAGATATAAGGATAGATAATTTTTGAAACAAAAAAAAATCATAGTACGATGCAACACATCGGAAACGAAAGATCAAATGACAAACATTAAAAGAAAAATAGTTTAAGGACGTACAACGTTAAAAACGATTTATCCTGTCCCATAGAAAAAAGTTACCGGGCAATGTTGTAGGTAATGAGATATATAACTCTTATTAATAGACTTTTTTCACATAACCTCAAAATTTAAGTTAAAAATTCAAATAACAAAGTTTTAGGGGTTATTATTTTCATCTTGTACAAAAAAACTTTTTCTTTAACGAAATTTGGTGTAAGCTTACCTTCTTATATTCCAAACACTTTTATATTCATTAAAGTCTCTACTTTTTATATAGATGCTATGGTAAATTTTGTCATAAAATGCAAACAAAACCCTACAAACGATTCAAAACTGATTTTTTTACTGCTACTACTACGAAATAATAGGAAGATGAAATAAAAGAAGCAGTGTTTAATCGTTTTTCAATTTTAATATATATTTTTTATACCATCAGAAAGTTGGTATTTCAGCGATATAAAGCCTACTGACTTTTTAAAAAATCAAATATTTTCATTTGAGATTTCTTTTATGGAAATTTGGGTTTTTTCGATATTCGGTCAATATATGGAGAAACAAGTATCGCGTGTTACCGAACATTTTATATTCTTGTAACTTGAATCAAATGCCTTCAGGTGCCTTATATGAAAATTGTTGCGAAAAAATTCAACATACTCCATATAAATTGGTGTGGTATATGAGGTACCTTAATGAAACCCTGGGATAATTTTATTAGTATGTTTCATGGTAATAGCATGTGGAATTGACAAATATAGATAAAATCGGGTCGATACTACCCCAAATCTCATATACTACATATTATGGTTTTCGTTTTTCTAACAAGTTTTATGGCGAATACGTCGTCCAGTGCGTGAGTTAAATATTTAAAAAAATTGGGTTCATATACGTCCTCACATATAACTGAGCAATTTCCAATTTATTGAAATTAGGTAGTCCACTTTTCTGCCTCTAATATACCCCATATAATGATTTCCGTCTTTCCACCTGACTTTAAACCGCTCAGGTTGGTCAAAATGTGATATTTTTATGAAATTCACCTAATTCCCCTAATATAATGAATTTCGATCCGCTGATTGACGTTTTTCACATCAACTAAATATACATATGTATATAAAATTTAGCCTCTTCGGCCCAGTTGATATCACGTACATATATCTTAGTTGCAGATTTTTTTATACTCTCGCAACTTGTTGCTACAGAGTATAATAGTTTTGTTCACCTAACGGTTGTTTGTATCACCTAAAACTAATCGAGTTAGATATAGGGTTATATATATAATATATAAATGATCAGGATGAAGAGACAAGTTGAAATCCGGGTGACTGTCTGTCCGTCTGTCTGTGCAAGCTGTAACTTGAGTAAAAATTGAGATATCTTTATGAAACTTGGTACACATGTTTCTTGGTACCGTGAGACGGTTGGTATTGCAGATGGGCGGACCACTGCCACGCCCACAAAAGGCCATTAATCAAAAACACATTAATTGCCATAACTAAGCTCCACAACAAGATACAATACTATTATTTGGTATACACGATCACATTAGGGAGGGGCATCTGTAGTTTAATTTTTTTTTAAGTGGGCGTGGTCCCGCCCCCTAATAAGTTTAATGTGCATATCCCCGTTACCACTGAGGCTATAATAACAAAGTTCACTGGGAACAAATATTTTTAGCATCTCTATCGACGATGTGAAAATGGGTGAAATCGGGTGACAACCCTGCCCACTCTCCATATAACGGCACTGTTAAAAACTACTAAATGAGCGATAAATCAAGCACTAAACAAGCCAGACACATTAAATTTTATCTCTGGGATGGTATGAGATGACTTAATAGGAAGCGCATTCAAAATTAGTGGGGGAGGGGCACCGCCCACTTTAGGTGAAACCCCATATCTTGGGATCTGCTTAACCGATTTCAACCAAATTCTATACATCACTTTATTCTCAAATTTCTATGTTATAGCACGAAAATGGGCGGAATCTGATTACAACCACGCCTATTTCACATATGACATCATTTTAAATTGCATCTGATTTTTTCACTTTCCAGTATGCTAATCAAGCAACAAAAATTATATCGGGGTAAAACTTTGCGTGAATAATACGTTTAAAGTATGCCGCCTTGTGACCAAAAATTATCTAAATTGACCTAAAACTGTTCAAGCCCCTAGGTACTGAATATGTGGACCCCAGTGCCTATAGTAGACTTTTTACCGAAAATATCGGTCAACATAGAACAAGGCGGCAAGATCCACAAAGAAATCTAAAACGAGTATACCATTTGATTTTGCGAGAGTATAAAATGTTCGGTTACATCCGAACTTAGCCCTTCCTTACTTATTTTATATAAAGTTTATATAAAGTTTTGCCAGCACCTGAAGGCATTTGATTCAAGTTACAAGAATAGAAAATGTTCGGTAACACCCGAACTTAGCCTTTCCTTTACTTGTTCCTTTAATGTTTGTCGTTTTATCTTTTGTTTTCGGTGGGTTTCAACCTGCTATGATTTTCGGACTTCCTTTATCATTTTCAAAGACTTCTGCATTAGTCTAATAAGATAACCTAAAATATATTGTAAGTATTATCCTAAAAAATAAAATTCGATTAGTATTATATATCGATAGCCCAGATTACTACATACAATATATACAATTATAAGATTTTAAGCGTTCGAACATACTCACTAATATACATACATATTTGAATTTTTTGGTACAAGTATAATATTAAATTTCATATTATTTGAAAATAAAATCGGTCTTGCACCTTTGATTCGGACCTTGAATTTCTCTGCATCACTGGACGGAAAGTGCATCCATAAAAATGTAAAGAGGTTATTGAAACAAAAAATTACAAACATAATTTCGCGCCATGCCCAGACATATATAATTACTAACTGGCCAGTAACATTCTGTACGAAACGCCCTGAATGAAACATGCATTCCAAATTAGACTCTAAAAACCAAAGCGCAACTGGTGAAATGCAGGCGTTAGTCCGCTGCGTCGCAGCTGCCGATGATATTTAAATAAAATTGAATGAATGCCTTGTTTAACGCATCGTCTGAGTAGACTCGGCAACAGCCTTCCGAACGGGCAGTAAAAGTATAAACAAGGGCTACATGATTTTGTATGTCTGACTTAATGACCGAGTATCTGAGCTTTGCTAAAAAATGCAGCCGAATGGCAGACAACAATAAACAATATGTACTCACTATCGAGCGCCACTGTGTTCAAGTTCATAAATACTGAAGAAAAGCCATATAATCTGAGTTCCTGGACTAGGATACCAAAAAATTATACAAAGTAACTCTTTTTACATTGAGAAACTTCATTCAGAAATCTGAATTAAATTTTTAGTTAGTATTTGAAAATATATAAAACATGAAGAATATAACATTTTTGTATTTACATACATACCTATATATGTACATACATACATATATACTCACATTAAATAAAACTAATGGTTAAGCCCTTAAGGATAGATTTTATAGTTTTATAGTATGTTTAATCAAAAATATATTTTTGAATTCAGGAATCTGAAAAGATTGTCCACTGTGACTTGGTTTCGATCATATGAAGAGTGTAAGTAAATTGACGTATTTGATATCCTCTACCTGTTTGTCTGTCTGCCTTGACCGCGTCATAACTAACGACAAATGTACATAGAATCGAAATCCATTACGTTTTCTGTATATTGTTTTGTTGCCTTTACACATCACCGTACCTGGCTGTACAACATCAGATAATTGCAGACATGCACTTGTTTCCCTATCTCTGTCCTTAGTCTGCTGTGCCTTCGTCTCAATCATCATATCAGATTTGGCACGAGTTTACCGACCGCTTCGAGCCATGACAGACAGACTGTCGCAGTTTAGGTCAGCAGTGCATGTGCACTGCATTTATTTTCAATGTTAACAATCAACACAATATTCGCGAACGCCTACTTAACATCATTGTGTATGTGTATTCATACAGCTGTTTCAAATTTTGTATTCTTAAGAACCCTACAGGAAATAATGAAATTTGCTGAAGAAAATATTTGTAATACAACCGTAGGTATAAAACAAAATCTTGATCGCAAATAAAAATTTAAAAAAATTGTAAAGTTAATTTTCATTATCTTCAGCTTTTACGATATTTAACTCTGTGATTTAAAAAAAAATTAATAAGAAATATGTAAAAAAATGTATAAAATATTAGTATTGCTCTCGTTCATCATTGTCTTTTCAAATATAATGATAGTGAGAAAATGTAAGCAGGGTACCTGTGATAATGCTTCTGAGTTTAGGATTGAAGACAGAACTAGACACGCGAAGCCTTAAAATATTTAAGAAGGTAATGCAAAGTAGAAATAAGAAAACAAATTAGCTTCTGGTTTTAACTAACCACACATCAGATGGTATGTGAGTAAATAATCGCATACGTTGGGCTGGCTCAAAACCTAACTTGTCCTTTATTCCACGCATTGCTTGATGTAGGCATCTCAAAACCGTCAGTATTCTTTATTGACCGTTTGACACTGTGGAACGAATTTATGGTGAACCACATCACGGTAATCAAAGAAAACGAAGAGCATCGCCTTTATTTTTTTACCGATTTTGACATGTTATTTTTAGAGCGCCATT